ATAATAAATGTTCTATGGAAAAAATTATAATAAATAGAAATTACAACACTAAATTCAAATAGGTGTTATTTAAATCTTTTTGATAAATATAGCCGATATTATTTAAAAACTTATACAAATATAGATAGTAATATTTATCGTATCAAATTATATGTGGGGCCTAATTTAATGGTATGAGACTCTTCTTGTCCACCTAAGCAAAAAGTGATTCCGCTCAAATGGTGTTATTTAGAAAGCACCGGTCCATAAACTTTCACCAACTCCTCGTAGATGCTCTTATGAAATTCATGAAAATAGAAGATCATTCTATCTAATCCCTATTTGAACATGTCATTTTCATTAATTATCTGCAAGTTTTTTCCTTCCATTTGAGTTTTAACCCTTTTTATACGTTTTCATGTTCTTTACCTCTGCCATCTTCACTTGTCATTACGAATAACCTTTACTTGTCTCACCACAACAAATCGACGTCAGCTCCAAAAAGAACAAAATAATGATAATGTAAAAAACTCTAAATCCAAATCCCTACCTCCTTTCATCCACCACTATACATCTTTATATATCGCTGCCATCGCATCAAGATACCAACCATAAAAATTATAAAAAATAATCATGTTTGCATAAAAAAAAACCAAAGAAGTCTTCATATAGAATCTTTAAAAACGAGATTTTAGAGTTTTTATTGTTTTGACACGATTTTTAAAACATTATTTCAATGGAGAATAATTTCTCCATATTCGAAAGAGATAATAAATTTTCAAAATTAAATTTTGATGAGAGAAAATATACATCAACTGTTTTAGGAATTTTGGAAGATAGATAATATAACGCTACCGCTTTGTTGAAAGTTTGTTGAGATGTTAAATATACTAAAGAGTGAATTACAATTATGGTACCTTTTTTATAGTCGTTTTCTGGTTTTGGTCCCTAAAATTCAAAAATTACACTAGTGATCCAATTTTCATATTATGACTCCCAACCAGTCCTTCGAGTTAACGTAATTACTCTAAGCTTCATTAAGTGCATCATGTGCCCCTCACGTGAGGGACAAATCCATCTTTTTAGGCATATCGTTTATTATCCTTAAAAAATGAAACAAAATATGTTATATATTGTAAATATAAGGCATAATTAAATTTTATAAACTCATACATATAAATAGCCCTGAAATCCAAGCCTCACCCACATCTTCATGTAACATCCAACTAGATTCTCAACGAAATCCCAATCTTTGGCCACCGTGAAAACTCCATGGACCACCATTCTATCCATTTATCGATTCTCATCCTTTTTTCAATGGCGACCATGCACAATCACCCCTTTCTCAAAGAGCGATTGTTAAACCACCTCTCGTCTTTTTGATGAATCATTGAGGATGTAGAAAGCGATATGAAGGTGAATCCTCACTTCCCCTCTCCGTGAATCTTTTCCCCTTCCCTGCATCACCATTGCATCTAGGTGTTATGCTTCATCGAGGTTGCACAACTTCATCAAGATTTCGTGACTACATATATGTACGGGTTTTTTCTATTAAAGTTGAATGCTTTTGTGATTATGAAATCTACAAATTGGTTGGGTTTTGATTTTAGGGCTCGAATATAAGATTTAATTAGGGCACTGACTTTAGGATATTTGATCTAGAGTTTTACAATTTATATAGATTTGTTCATTATCGTTCTTGAAGCTGGTGTGATAGGTTTTTTATTTTTTAAAGGAAAAAAATAAAAAGGTAAAATGATGGATTTGCCATTCATGTTAGGGGCACATAATGCACTTAACGGAGCTTCAACTAACAATGTTAACTCAAGGTATTAGTTTGAGCTTCTACACACGAAAAATGATCCATTGGTGTATTTTATAAATTTTAGGGATCAAAATCTCTAATATATAAATATAGCTCCATTATTGCCAATACATTGTCCCAAAGTATGGAAACCCAAAAGGAGATATGATAACTTCGGTATGTTCTAACATTATTGCCAATATATTGTCCTCTTTATGTTACAGATTCTAATCTCTAATATAAAAATATAGCTCCATGAACAAAAGCTTTCGTCATGACCAAATTTTCCGTTCTTTTGCGGTGAAGGCTAGTAACAAACTTAGCAATCTCAACAAAATGTTTTAAGAGTGGCACTCTAGCTAGGTGAGACAACTGTGGTGTCTCTAGGTGCATTTCATCGGACGAAAGGCTTTAATCAATCATGATCCCAATGCCTCCATCTTGGAGGTTGTGGGCCTCGATTTCTTCAATGTTGTTAATGTTGTCTTATTTTCAACGTGGCTATATGCTGGTGGTGCATCTAACTATCATTTTCAACTATGAAACAATATATAAATAAACTACTTATTTAAGCTCGTACTTAGTAGCACAATAATTTTCCACACTATAACATTCATTTCAACTGCTACACTTCAAAAATGAAATTTTCATTCACATATGTTTCATGTTAGGCACATGATATATTAAAATAAAGCTCTTTATGTAGAATGCACAGAGCCACCAACGTTTTTTAGCCTTTGTTTGGACTCAACTTTGTTTTTGAGTTCGGAATGGGTGTCAAACTCAAATTTCCCCAACAAAATTGAGAGTCTACAATACAAGAATCGTGATGTGGGGCAATGATTTGACGCATGGGGTGGAGGACTGTGTAACCAAACAACCTAGGGCGAGAAATGTCGATCACGAGTGGATGGTGAAGGACTTATGCTTATCTTAATGAGTTTAAAAGTAAATAAATATTAAAAGTTATTCCATATCAAAGTCAATGATTTAATCATATACGAGAGCTGATAAGCATTATCATATTCCCAGTTTAATAAGGATTTTCATTCACATGAGGCAATTTTAATTTTATCAGATAAATAATTATAAATGATCAGTTTGATTAAAAGTGATACAATTGACAATATTACAAAAAAAATATATAGCTAATAATATTTATATCAAATATGTAATTAGAATACAAAATATATAAATATAATGATATATTTATCTAACTAAAAATACGAGTAAAAAAAATAAAAATATGAAGATAAAGTACGAATTCCACCTCCTTAGTGTATTTTACAATTCTTTTGATAAAAATAGTCGATAAGTCTAAAAACTTAGTTGTCATATTCGTGGAAATAGAAGTGAAATAAAAAAAATGTCTTTTTAAAATCTTTTAATGAAAATAATAATAATAAAAATTTGTTACAAAACAATTTTTGCTAAATCTATACTATATTATAAAATATTTGACAAAAACTCTTAATTTTTTTTTTTTACATGAAGTACTGTTTATTGATGCATATTACCTACAATTCAAGATTACAAGTAAATTGTGCGTAAGTACAACTTATTAAAACTTCATGTTTGAAGTCGTGTAACTAACTGCAGATAAACATAATCGAATAAATGATAAATATCTCATTTTAAATATAATTAAAATAAAATACTTATAATTACCAAATTATTAATTAATTACAAAAATAAAATGATATGTTAATAAAAATAACATTTTTTTCCTTTCTCTCCTGTTCTGAAACATGGAAAATGATTTCCCTTTGTTTTATTAAAACCCAAAATATTTTATTTCCTTCTCTTTCTTTATTATTTTGATTCCCAAATTCATGTACACGATGATAAGGAGATGAATAGACCAGAAATGCAAGACAAAAAAGTTTGTAGGCTAGAAATAGAGATTGATACAATAGTTGAGGGACTAAGATTGTAGATTCGATAAAGAAAAACACGTAGGATTTTTCATATAAAAGGGAAAATTAAAGTAAAACTGAAAAAAGTAAAACGAGAAGCATAAAAACTCGCCTATTAACAGAAAATCCCTTGCAATTGCAACTGTGTCTTCATTTCTCGTATATTCTCTCTCATGGTTTTTTGCCGTCACAGATCTTCCTTCCCAATCACAGATTTCCGCTAATCCGATTAAACGCCTCTTCCATGGCTCCACCGCATAATCAACCAAATCACATACTTCCGTCGTTGCCTTTCTCGCTTTCCACACACCATCGCCGTCGCCGCTGCTCTAAAGCACAAATGTGCTTCTTCAACATTCTTCACATAATTTCCGTCTTCCCGGCCGCTGACGTCACGGATAAGAAATGTTTCGGTCACGATGAGGAGATTTGTGAAAATAAGGTGTTCGGTGATGACGACATCAACATCAATTTACGTCCGCCGACAGAGGTTGAGCCTTTTGAGACTCTGGCCACGGCGGACGACTTTGCTGAAAATTGTGTGCAAGAGATGAACGATCGGCGCAAAAACGAATCCTTTGTTGCGGAGGAATCAGAGTTAGCGGTTGAGGAGGAGAGAGCGACGGAGCACTCGGAGATCTCGCATGTAGGAGACCAAAGCTCGGGAATCGATTACAATGGAGTCTCTGAAGTAGTAGAAGAAGAAAAGCAGAGAGATGAAGGATATCTAGGTTTGTTAATTGAAGCGGCGCAATTGATTCTAGGCGAGGACTCCGAGAAGGCGAAGAAACCGCCGAAGAGCAAACACGTGGAGGCATCGTCGGCGGCAAGAAGAGGAGCGAAAAGGAAGCAGCAATGTTGGACGGCGGCAGCGGAGGCGGAATGGTACGCGGAGTTCGAGGACACATCTCCGGTTGTGAAATCAAAGCGAGGAAGAAGCCAAGTGTTGCCGTATAAATACCGAGACTCGGTGGTGGAGCCGTTGGTAGGGTGGACGTCCTCGAGTCACCGATCAATCGCAAACTCAGCAGCAGTGCCTTCAAAGCGAAGGTCAAAATAGGAAATATCCACACCAACCTCCAAGAAGAAAACCGCAGGTGATGGAATATTTTACTCCTAATATTATCTTCTTTTTTTAATTTTATTTTCAGTAGGTATGTTAATTTTTGATATCTAATTAAAAAAACCATAAAAAATAATATACAAAATTTTGGTAATTATCCATAGTGCAGATGTAAGCAAGTCGAGTCAGGGTTTCAAAACGACTAGTGTACAAAATTATATGCCCAAAAAACAAGTTATGGAAACAATTGTAATCCCTCATTTTTGTTACACCTTTGGTATCGTTAATGACATATAAATCGAATGGAATAGTTTTTCTTGTTGGCCTTTTGATGGTTTTTAAGAAGTAAATAGTTGGTTTTTATTAGGAGGAAGGTACTCTTTGAAAAAAAGGGTGGTTGTCTGATGTGGTGGTTTCAGATTTTTGGTGTCCTTGTAAGCTGTCCAATGTACCAACAGTACTACATTGGGTACAACATTACTCATTTCAATTACTAATCCTATTATTTTGGCAAAATTCTTTACAATACAATATTACTTTTTTGGATATACACAAGTACACACATATACACATAGATTTTACCATCACGTGAGACCAGCTTGTTTTCGTAAGACTCGTGAGACCATTTTTTTACACTTAAATGTTGTGAAGGTTTGGCTTTTTTTTTTACCTTCACAGCATTTTGTTGCGAAGTTTCAAATGTAAAAAAATAGTCTCACGTGAACCCAACCATATATACATATATACGTACATATATATACATATTATTGCTTAGAAGTTCAAGGTTTTTTTTCGTTGTAAATAAGATGTTTGCACCGTTTTTTACATTAAAGTGATGTAAACTTTGGTGTTAACGATAATTCATTATACTTTTTTAACGCCAAACGAAAAATTTATCTGAATTCTTAACCACTTTTAATCTCACCTTCATCTTATGAATTGCGTTTATCACAGAAATTGATCTGGTGCATCTCGGTGCACTGCAATAGTGTTGATCTTCAGTTAGGATTGATGCAAATGTTGAGATCTTTTCTTACCCTTTTTACCATGACTTTCATTCTCACCGGAACCCAACCAAATAGGAACTGTATTACTTATTTTAAATATATATAATGTATTATATATTTTAAATATATATAATGTATTATATATTTTAAATAATACTCGTGTTTATGTGTGTATAGGGTTGAGTTCACGTGGTGAGATTATATTGTTTTCATGAGACCCGTGAGACCTTTTTTTTATACTTCAAAACATCACAACAAAACATTGTTAAGGTAAAAAAATCGAACCTTCACAGTGTTTTGCTGTGAAATTTCAAGTATAAAAAAGTGGTTTCACAAATCTCATGAAAACATGCTGGTCTCATGCAGGAACGGACCTACGATTTTTTTTTACGCTGGCACCATACAATATAGACAGAATAATTACAAAAGGCACGATTTTTATCGACGTGTCTTCATGTTTTTACTAACATTCAATATCGCTTGATGTGTTCTCAGCCTGATTCCACTCTTTCGAGGAATTTTTAAAGTTTTTCTACTTGATTTCGAGGAAATTTTTAGTTTTCTTTATCGATTTCAAGGGATTTTTTCCGGTATTTTTTGTTGATTTCAAGAGTTCTTTTTGTTTTTGTGGTTGATTACAAGGTTGTGCTGCACCTGCTTGAACTTTTAAATATTGTACGGTGACACCTTATAAAATGATATAGTTGCACCTTTTATAAACGTAAAAATTTTGAGCTTAACCACAAGGGTGGTACCTGATTGGTTTGAGCTTGGCTCCAAAGGTCAAAAGTACCTGGAGGATTCATGTTTAAATCCAAGGAGGAATAAAAATCCTCTTGTGGCCACGGAGGTTCAAATGCGGTGTCTCCGGGCTATCTGCAAAGCAGACGGTCGCCTTGAGATTAGTCGGCTCGCATAGCGGGTTAAATATTCAGGTTAATAAAAAAAAATAAGCTTTCGGTAGGGAGATAATATGGTGGCACATGCCACAGTATGCCTTTCTATGGGTCCGTCCATGGTCTCACATGATTTCAAGTATATATATATATATATATATATATATATATATATTGTTTAGAGTATCTCAAAGACATCCTCCAAAATTCTTTTAGAGATTCTCCGACAGTTATGCTATTATTTTCTCTAAAGTAGAGTATTAAAAATCAAAGTATCTTAAAAAAAATTACATTCAACTCTAACAACCATTCTATTTTAACAACTCTAACAACCATTCTATTTTAACAATTCTAACATAAACTATATTATTAAAATATTAAATATATTTAAAATATTATCTCTATCTCCAAAACATTTATTTTCAATATCTATTTTTGGTGAGAAGTATTAAAATAATAATAATAATTATTATTATTTAGGATTTTCTTCAAATTTGGAGATATTTTACAATCTCTCAGCTCTTTCGTTATCTTAAGATACAAGATAAAATAGTTATTAGAGTAATATTTTTTTAAATTCCTTTTTTTTTTCCATTTTAACATAGCTATTGAAGATGCTCTAAAAATTAGAAATCAATTATTAAGATAATTACTTTCATTTTTAAAGTAGTTATGTAATTAATAAAAATTTGGTGGTTGAATATTTGGAATGTATATGAATAAATAAGAAGATTCAACGACCGAAGTCGTTGCATTAGTTTTGAGTGCAATAGACGCTTATTTGTCAACTTTAATGCACCATTAAATTCCATCTGTGTTTTATTTTAACATATCACAAATATTACTAATTATTATTCATTCTTTTTCTTGTCGTCTGTCAATAATAATTTGAAATAAGAAAAATAATACCAAATCGAAGTAGACAAATTTGTTAGTTTTATTATTTGGTTAATCACCCAAAAGAGAAGAACAAGCAAACAATTCTCCATGTATTAGTTTAGAAGAGTAATGGTAAGAAATGACTTTCCGTTTGATATCACACCATATCTTGAAACTAGACGGGATGGGACCGTCCCATATCCCTTCACACCTAAACATGTTTGCTTGTAAATTGTATCTGTATTGGCCGGTTCTGGTCCAAAACAAAAAAAAACTAGGATGATTCAGGCCTGGCAACCGGTTTCGTACCCGGTTCTTGGCCCAGTCGGCTTTCAAAAAGAAGATTCATTCAAAAAAAAAACTACACAAAAATGTTATACATGTTTTATAATTTTGATTTTTGAAATCGACCATTGAAAAACAATTAAAGAAATTACATTACTTGAAAAAATCTCTAAACATTTGTATTACAACTTGGAAAAATCTTTAAATTACATTACTTGAAAAAATCTCTAAACATTTGTATTACAACTTGGAAAAATCTTTAAATTACATTACTTGAAAAAATCTCTAAACATTTGTATTACAACTTGGAAAAATCTTTAAACACTGAATTTATATGAAAAAATCGGTCCTATACGTAACTGTCCTAAACTAGGCCGGACCTTATTTTTCCAAAAAAAACTCTTAAGTGGTCCCCATCTCCCAAACCTCCGGGTTGTGACCGTTTCCTACCAATCTCTTAATCGGTCCTAATTCTGTATTTTGCTATCTCTACTTGAAACATATGTTAGTCTTTGATTTTCTTGTTAACAAATAAAAAAATTTAACGTCAAATAATGATATTAGTGAAATTTGAATTCCTAAGCTCCAAAAAGGGTCATATAAGGAAAATATTAAAATAGGATCCTATTTTCCGTTCTTTTAATAAAAAAAGAACTATCTCATTAATAAAAATAGGGTCTCTTTGTTGACGTTCTTATTTTGTTAAGGTTAAGGTAACATGAAAATATATTGCAAATAAGGTTTTTAGAGATTCCACACTTCCGCCACTGTGGATGCTTTTATATCCCTTCATCGGCTTTTGCCGTATGCAAATTGCCAAGTCCTCCGACTTCCCAACACCATCTGCCACTGACATTGCCTTTGCCTCCATCTCTGCCACTGTCATCAACCCGACCTCCTCCTTTGCTATCGCTTCCTTTTCTACTTTGTGATCAAAATACTGCTTCTGCTTCTTTTTTTCTTTTTTTTTGTTAAGCATGAGTGTTTGGGCCAACTTTCACACACCTCGAATAATCTCAGGGTCCTAGAAAATAGCTAGGAAAATTTTCTTGCGTCCTTGCAAGATTTGAATTGATGATCTCTTAGTAGGATCCCAGAAGCTCATGCCTTATTGCAGTTGAGCTAATACTGCAAAGTTTGTACTACTTGAGCCCAAGCCTTATACCACTTCTACTTTGTCGACATGTGGAGCCACGACACGACTTGTAACCACCTCTTTGACAGAGTCGTCTCAATCATTTTGGATGTCCTCTTGCACAGGTACTGAAATTATAGATCGTCATCGTCTGAAATGAATAATAACCAAAACAAAATATTAAATTTCATATCATATTAAAAATCTCACAAATTAAAACAACAAAAATGTTTGAAAAGACAAAGTGAGAAGAATATCAAAGTATCGTTTTTGTGTTTGATCGACAACTTATGAAATTAAATAGTCGCTTTCTCCTATGAAAGAAATTAGATAGGCATCATTGAGACGGAATGACATGGTGGGCTGTATAGACGATCCTGCAAATGGAGATCTGGTTCGTTGGTGTCCTGGTGGTTAAACGAGGGAGGACCGAGGGTATGGAAATTTGGCTTGACGAGGCCCGAAGGTTAAAATTACCCAATTCCTTAAAGAGATTGTTTTATAACATGCTTTTCATAGGAGACATTATTTCAGTAGTTGTGTAACATGTGTTATTTAATTTAAAATATTCATACTTAAAATGTATGAAATCTATAGAAATATTTCCATTTTTCAGGTCAATGTTATTGGTTCTACTTTCTATTTATAGATCGATCACATGGTGATGTTTCTACAATTTTTCAAAGCATGCTTTATTTTTAAAGAGTTACTGCTTCGATTAGATATAAAGTTTTCATATGATATGATAGTCAATGAACTAGTCAAATACTCTCTCCGTTAAGGAAATTGAGGGTATTTGGTTGGGTCGTTGGGGTATTAAGGGGTAAGAAATCTGAATGATGATGAAAAATGTGGTTGAATTTGATATAATATAATGGATTCATTACCCCAAACTCATTAATTTCCATATCCGACCAAATTAGACGGAATGGACATTTAATTCCCGCTTAATAGTAGTCCTTCTCTCGACGTTGAATGGAACATTTTCATGCTGAACGGAATATATTTATATAAAACAATTTTTCATTGATTATATTAACTTAATAAAACATCGATCGATTTCCATTCTCATGAATTCTCATTATCATTCAACCAAATATGCCCTAAGTCTTCATAAAATTTAAGTTTCCAATTTATACAACTTTATGCTTTAAAGTTGAAATATGTTGATTTAATTATTTAATGGGATAGCCCGTAGAAAAATCAACTGTTGACTCATTGAATGTGTCAGATAGCGGTCGTACTTCAAAATAGTTTTCTCTTTTTATTTGATTAAGCAATTACCACCTTATATCATAAGTTGTATGTTTTTTACTTCATATACTTTGTTTTAATGATTTTTATAATTATTATAATTTTATATTTGTACAGTGGATGATTCACATGAAGGTGGAACCGGAGGGGCGATTGCGTCTCTCGTCAAAACATGGGTGTCATTACCGACAATATATATTGAGACACTGGTTGGGTTTTTTGCATTTGGGTTCAGTCTCTTTTGATTTACGTTACATGGGTTTTGTCACTAACTTCGTTAATGAATTCCACAAATTTATTGTTCATGTTCATGACATTCTTGTATTCTCGATCATTATCTGAAATTCCTAAGATGGATGTTCACGGTTGATAAAATTAGATTCTTTATTTTCATAAATTTAGAATTAGGGTTCTTGATAATTCTTCAGGTTGAGGAAAAAGGAGGTGAAGAAAGAAGAGTAAAAAACATATTCTAAATCTTATGTTTGTAACGGAATCTTTATAGTCATATTGATGCTAGCCGTAACAAATTGCAAATCATGAGGGCCCCACAATGTAATAAAATGAACTATAGGGATCTAACCTTAATTTACCTAAAAATACAGGGACCAACTAAGTAATATACTCTTAAATCTGACAAACTTTAAACAAGGTTTGGACACGACACAGAGTCAAATAAAGACCAATTATTTGTGTACTTTGTAGTGTTTAAATAAATACCAATCATTTTTTTTAATAAACTTGTTACCTTTGCACCTTCCCTCACGTCAAAAATCCCATATCTCCATCGTCTCGCAAAAGGTTAATTGAATAGTTTTTTTAGGGTAATCTAATGAGGTTTCACATATTTTATAATGGTATTAGAGTCGATGTTTGGACTCAACAGTCTACGATATCTTTGCTCGTCTAGCTTCCATTGTTCTCACCTCAAACAGAGAGTAATATAATGTCGTTAATATATTCTAACATGTAATTCAATGGCCACCCAATTTTCTTTTTCTTTTCGAAGTATATAATATATTTTATATACGGTAAATGCAACAAATAAATATACAGACACCCTCATCTTTCCAACAAACAACTCTTCTCTGACAACCCCATTCCCCTAGTTCATGTTCTTGCCAAATCCTCTTTTTTGAATATATTCCAAGGGTAAATGTGAGAAGTATCGACATAAAAAACACTACAAACACTTGATCAATTGTATGCATATCAAAGACTAGGATTCAATCATAACGAAATTTTTCTAGGGAAGGATGGATATATTTAGGCATATTCGAAGAATAATTAATTTTAGTGAGAAACAAGAATTAGATTATCTATTCAAATAAGCCAAAAATACTAAAAAATGTCAAAACCTCGACGGTGTATGGAATCCGCATCCAAGATAACGATGAACAATTCCAAATTCCCGTGAGCCAATGAAAACAACAAGATTGGTAAATTTTATGATTAAGTATATATGACAAATCAAATGATATATGTATTATAATAAGAGGTAGTTCTATATTGCAAGTGTCAACCCTTGTCATGAAAGTAACATCTTAGTCTCCCTCAATACCAGTTTGGCTTTATCAATCATGTTCATGTTGTTTTTATCGTCTCTAATTTTTTCGGCAGACCGAAAAGGAGAAGTCGAAAGGTGGTATATTATCACTTTAGACAAACATTCATGTCAAAACCAAATTTCTAGAAATCATATACAAAAAAGGCAAATTTCTTAAGTATCCTAAGCAAAAAAATGAAAGGCATTAACAAGATAGAACATAGGTTTCATCATTAGATTTAACAAAAAATCCAACCTTAATTCAAACAATATTCCCACATAATTTATGTTCCTAATCCTAGGGATCACCAATTTTAATAACATCCATACTTTTTTGTTATTTCTATATAACCATCGAGACTCATCTCTATTCTTTCCTTCCAGATCTGTTGGATCATAGAAAACACTGCATCTATGAGATGTATCTTCTATTTGAATACTTGCACAGTATCTAGGGTGTATTTCTAGGGGTAAAATAAGTATCATATATTAGACAGAAATCAGCTGTCTGCGATAACCTGGAGTGATTATACATGAATGGGAATGGAAGGTGAAAGTATAAATCAAAGGGTGGTGTTGATTCATGATGCTTCAGGCGGAGTTAGAACGAATGCTGTGAGATGGATTATTGATGGATTTTCGTTGAAGCCTGGAGATATGTTTACTTTTCTTTCTGTTCTTCATGAAATCCACCATCCTAGTATGTTCGATTCCTTTCAAATTCTCACTTCAAAACTTGTTCACTTGTTACTTTCTGATCTTGTTTTAGGTTAGCAGAAAACGGGTTTTCTTGATGTTAAAATGATTCACAATAGTTGTCTATGTTCCTTCATGATCTTGGTTAGGCCAAAAATCATGTTGAAATGATTCTGAATAGTTGTTAATGGTTTTTATTTGTTTATTTATCTTGTTATGGTTTATATACTTAGAATATAGCCCTAAAATTTTGACTTCTTAACAAAAAGACCAAAATACCACTGGCTAGAAATCCACCATGTTTTTATATATAAAATTTCCATCTCGTGTACCACTTGACTTGTTTACAATGTTAGCTTGTTTCTAATTTGATTTACATAAAAGCAGTCTTACAATTTCATAAATCAGTTTAAAATGACTAAAATTCCCTTATATATCATGGGATCGAGTGCTTATAGATATTCGTAATTACAGTGGGGTACAAGATCAGAGTGGACGGTTCCATGTTTGGAGCAAACCAGAAGGCCATCGATAAGGAACTTGAGAGGAGGAAGAAGGAGTACAAAGACAATCTTGAACTTGTTCAAATATCAAAATTATACGAAATGCATGAGGTAACCGAGGGTAACTTTGTCTTTTTATCACTAGGTTAATTAAAATAAAATAAAAGCAAAATTTTATATATATATATATATATATATATATATATATATAAATGATATATATATGTTTCACAGATCGATTTCAAGATTGAATTGGTGGCTGGACCTATACCCAACAATGCCGCCGTAGAAGCATCCAAGAAATTCAATGCAACTTGGGTGATTCTCGACAGGTAAAGTCAATACCTTTCGGTTTTAAACCACAAGTTAGTGACTGATTGGTTTGAGCCTGGTTTCAAAGGTCAAAAGTATCAGGAGGTTCCAGGTTCAAATCCAAGAAGGAATAAAAATTCTCTTGTGGCAAATGCGGTAACTTCAGGCTATCTGCAAAGCAGTTGGCCGTCCTGAGATTAGTCAGCTCGCATAGTGGGTTGGATATCCAGGTTAACAAAAAAAATAGCTTTCGGTTTTATATCACTTGTAAAACCATAACCTTTTGAACTCTCAAACATTCGATATCACTCGTTCGTAAATTCATGTTTTGTCGTTTTTATATAACGATTCTCAAAAGATTGTGTATACGAAATAACGAATCATCGTTTAACATGGTCTATGTACCATAAAAAACCGAAATACGATAATTGATGACACTCCAAGATCATATGATTTGTTACTTGTGTTTGTGTCAAAAAACAGGCTTTAATTTCATCGTACTTCTTTTGGTTCTTTGTCGTAGGAGAATGAAGAGAGACAAGAACCATTTCGTACAGAAGCTTTCGTGTGGCATATCGACAATGAAGCGAAACGACGACATAATAAAAATACGAGGACCGAAGCTAGTACGTAATCCAAAAACACCTCTATCGTACGACCAAATGTTACCCAGCGACCACAAAAAACCGACACAAAATGACGAAGATTTGTTCAGCATCGAATTTGATTCCTCATGTAAGTATTTCCGTAACAATGTACATTCCGAATACAATAGTACTCTTTCTGATGAAACTAATTGATTTTGTTATCGAATTATATTCGTAACATGAATAACAGATACGAGTTCCACGAGCACGAGAACTAGCATTAGCGACGGCTATTTAACATTAGGAAATAATCAAGAAGAGAAGATAAAACAGTTGTCGACGCTCCTGGAAGCGTTAGGGGAAGAACAAGAGAATTCTTGGGGAGAAACTACGGAGGAGCAAGTTCAAATGCCACCGATACCGGAGGAGAAAGTACAACTTGATCAGAAGAAATGTACAACTTGTAGCAGCACAAGGCCGACGAGTGAGTGGCAGAGTAGAGAGTTTTCGTATTCGGAGCTCGTTGACGCTACAAACAGATTTTCGTCCAATAACTTGATCTACCGAGGAGAAAACGAGGCAGTTTTTCACGGGACCCTTAAAGGTACCAAACTGAATGTGATCGTTAAGGAACAAAAAGATGTCAAGAAGTACAAGTCGGAGATGCAAGCACTTGAGAAAACTCGAAACGAGAATGTGGTGATGTTGTTAGGCACTTGTTTGGAAAACAACCCAAGATTGCTGGTCTTCGAGCTCGCTTGCAACGGTTCACTAGATCAACATCTATCGCGTAAGATCTCGTTGCGTTACATACGTCCTTCGTTGCTAATTAGTTTCTGACTCATTTACATGATACAACAGATCAACATCAGAGACCATTAATATGGACCGAAAGGATAAAAATTGCGATCGGTGCATCGAGAGGGTTGCTCCATTTGCACGAGAATAACATAATCCACGGCGACGTACGCCCAAAGAACGTATTATTGACACATGACTTGGACCCGCTGGTAAGCTACCAAGCTCGTATACAAATCATCTGTCCCCAAACTACACGTCTTCTTTTATCACAAATAACTCGTGATTTATTGAAGAGAGAGAATAAAAAGATGAATTAAATAAAACAGTGATGCTAATCGGTCGAAATATCCGGTAATCTATCGATGCATGGAGTACGGACTCGATATTAGTTTCTCTCTCTTTAGATTGCAGGGTTTGGGCTAGCAAGGATGAAGAACGAGCCGGATAATTCGTCGGACCACTTTATAATAGGTACATTCGGGTATTTGGCACCGGAGTATACAGAAAGAGGAAACGCGACTACGGAAACTGATGTTTACGCCTTCGGGATCGTCCTATTAGAGCTTCTCACGGGTCGGAGTCCTACCGACACACGACTAAAGGGACAAAGTTTCATCGAATGGGTAATCTTCACATCTTATAAGAAGAAGAAAAACTTCTATTATTTCTTTACGTAAAAGCAACAACTGAAAACATATTTCAAGCAAAGTTTCAATAAGCAAGATTATTGATTAAGTTAGGTTTTATATTCTGAATGGTTCGTATGACAACACCCTTCGTTTATACCGATAAATCGGTAACACGATAATTAATAAATAGATGTTTGATTGGTTTGAGCTTGGCTCCAAAGGTCAAAAGTACCAGGAGGTCTCAGGTTCAAATCCAAGTAGAAATAAAAATCCCCTTGTGGCCACGGAGATTCAAATGCGGTGACTCCGGGCTATCTACAAAGCATGTGGTCGACTTGGGATTAGTCGGCTCGCATAGCGGGTTGCATATCTAGATTAATAAAAAATTTAAAAAATAAATATAGAGTCATACGTTGTATTTTTGCAGGCTATTCCACTGGTAAAAGAAAGAAAGTTTTGCGAGTTGATTGATCCTGGGATTGACTACGACGAGGACCAGTTTATGAGGATGGTACAAGTGGCTGTAAAGTGTGTATCCAGGGATTCACAAATAAGATTGACCATGGATGAGGTAGATATGCATAATTCACTTGTACAATAGACTATTCACTCGTGCTTGACAAGTTGTACTCTAATGACCATTGCTGTAGGTGGCGTTCACACTGGATTACATCAAAGATTGCCATAAACCCCAAGACTCGGACGAAATACAAGAGGTCAACCAGGAGGGAAGTGTTGGTCAAAGTCAACTTGAGAAAAAAGTCAACTTTGATTTTGGTGTAACGACGCCTGTGCCCAAACAGGCGAAGCATTTTTACCATGCTGGACAAGTTTAATTCATTTCACTTTGTTGCATCAACAATAAACAAAATTATGTGATAATAATAACGTGTATGCATTTTAGCCCTTAATTCGTAGATTTATTACTCTTTTTTTGTGTTTTCATTTAACCTGTTCATCGATTGACATCCATTGGATGTGAGAGGAATCAAATCGATCAAATCACCCATTTAATGTTGGATTTTGTCAACCAATCCGATTCAATTAACATTGGATAACTGATCCAATCCAATTCAATTGATGATTGAATCGGTTCGGTTCCATCAATTGGATACTTTTATTGAATGTTCATCAAATATCCAGTAGATGATTCAATGGGATTGGATCCATCCGGTGTGTTAATTCAATCCAATTATCTAACAATGATAAAACCAACACAAGGGAAGTTAAAAATTCAAAGTCTCAGATAAAACAAATTCCGATTTAAACAATCTGAAAATAAATTAATTGGATTATAGATGAATAATGGTTGGATGGTCATCAGATGGTTAATTGGATTGGTAATTGGATGTTGATCGGTTTTGTTTGGTTTGGTTTTGGTTGGTTCTAGATTGTCATCCGAGAACCGACCGATCCAAATTGGACGTTGGAATTTTCAATCTGATCCAATCTAATTACAATTGGATCAATCGGTTCCACTTATATCAGTTAATTTTTTACACACCCCTTATTTTTATAATAATATTAAAAAGAATTTTAACTAGGTATTGGTTAACAAAAACAATTTGACGATTTTGAAGAATAATAATTAGCCTAACTATTATAAATAAATTTATACCACGTTGTTTGATTATAATTGAGCAAAAACATGTAATATATCAAAATTAATATAATCAAAAATAAAAACATTTAACTAATAATTATACGGGTGGTAATTTTTAGAGCATCTTAACGAGACTTGTTTACGGTACTTAACCCAACACCTTACGACACGAGCATATTTAATCATATTCTATTCATTTTTATTCGACCTTTTCAGAGTTCATTCTCCGAGCAACTCTGTTTAACCGGTGAATTCCTTCCAACCAACTTCATCAAATTTCCCAAAGCCTATGCTTTTTTGAATCTAATCGTAGATGTTATGCCAGTCGATTTTATGATTATAAGTTAATTTCATACTGGGCCAGACTAGAATAAGATTGTTTGTAACTAGTAGTTTTTGGGTTGGATTATTGGTCGCATTTTATTTATGAAATGGATTAGATTGGTATTAGTTTGGATACGGAAAAATCGATCCATTTGTAATGTAAATAATTCATGATGGAGCTCAAGTAGAAAGTATTGATTAATTTAACAATCTAGGATTAATGCGGCTCTTAAACCTGGTACTACTAGTTTACAAATTTTGAGTAAATTACATTGATGGTCCCTGTGGTTTGTTCAAATTTTGGGTTTGGCCCTTAAAACAAACTAGCGATGGTTCATAACTTTTCATTTTCATAATACTCATGGTTCCTCCACTTAACGACGTTAGTTAGCAACCTTTATGAAAGACTAATCGGTCTTTGAACAAACTATAGGACCAAAGTGTAATCCATTCCAAAATATGATGTGATACACGTTTTTTTTTTGTTTTTTATTAAAAAAATTATTATTAAAATCATAAATTAAATTTCTTAAAATAAAGTACATATTAATAAATATTTAATTAAAAACTATTGAATTTACAAAAAAATCAGCGTTAAAAAATATCTAGTTTAAAAAACATAAATCAAGATAATGTCACATATCTTTTTGGTTTAGAATTGAAATATGTGACGAAAAATAGAAAATTAAGTTCGATTAACATGAGATTATTAATATATAGTCAAACTACAAATAATTAAAATAACATACTAATTAAAAATTATAAACTAAGATTAAAAAAAACATTATTTATTCAAACAATTAAAAGAAACCATCACTACAACAAATAAATATAAATATTTTTAATTAATATATATTTAATTTTTAGCTAATTAATTTGTGATAAATATATAAAATGTTTTCTAATAAAAATTAAAAGACCGTGAATCACATTAAATTTTGGAGCAGATTACATTTCCGTTCCTTATAATTTGTTCAAATACCGATTAGTCATTTATAATGGTTGTTAACTAATGTCGTTAAGTGGAGGGACCATGAATGTTATGAAAATGAAAAGTTAAAAACCATCAGTATAAATAATTTATTTTAAAGTGTAAATCCAAAAATTTAGCAATCACTAATGTAATTCACTTATAAATTTTTATACCATAGGAAGAAACAGGTACATACCAAGGTGGAAGAGAAAATGTTCATAAAAATGGATTTTCTGTTCATCAAAAGTGATGGGACTCAATCTAATTTAATAATATAAAATAATTAAAAATAATATAAAATAATTAAAATTTTAGATTATGGGCCAACTAATGATTGATGGTAGAAAGTTGATGTAAGAAGGAAAATCTAATGTGGCAGACAAGAGAAATTTGATATGAAAGAGTCCTTCTTTAGAGCATCAGGAGTTCAAAATGCAAAAATAATACAATAAATTTTTTTAACATTTAAAGTTACGTTTGATAAACTAGGTGATAAGTTAGCTGATAGCTGATAAATTGTTTGATAATTGATAAGCTAGCTGGTAGCTGATAAACAAACTAGTTGTTGATAAGTCGGTTGATAGCTAATAAGCTAGCTGATGAATAAATCATGTTTGGTAAAAATTAACTTTGTAACATATATAATGACCAAGAATAACATTTTCAAAAATTAGTCAATACAATATTTCATAATATAACTAAAACAAATCTTTAAAAGTATACAATTTTAATTAATATCTAAAAGATGATAATAAATAAATATATAATATGTTTACTAAAAAAAATTCAAATTGATTGTTATATATGTATAAATTTCGGATTTGTGTAACCAATTTTAGAACTTTTTTTTAATTAATTTATGATTTTAAATAATCATTAAGATATAATATGAATAAATATAAAAGTGTTAACCTCATATATTTTAATTAATTCATAATTTTTTAAAATATATGATTACTAAATAAATTAGATATTTTATCATAATCATTTAACATAATTTAATTATCTATAAAACAAAATAAGTAATTTTGATGTAACTTACATAAAATTTTTAAAACATAAATATTTTTAAAAATTTTATGTTTACCTTTTGATAACTAAAAACATTGAATAATAGTTATAACAATAATTGATATGATTAATATATTGTAAATGATTAAGTTAATGTATAATATATAATTAATATTACGTTTAGATGATACTTGTTGATAGTAATAATTTATTTTTACTCAATATTTATTAATAATTAATATTTATTTATTATTAGTAGTAATAAATAATAATTAATATTAATGAATGTTACAACTGGAAAAAGTATTAATAAACTTTCAAAAGTAACGTTTCAATAAGTTAATTTATGGTCCTCCAAACATGTACATATAAAATAAGCTAGCTTATATTTGTCAAACAATGTCTTAATCTTTTTGTGAACATTGACAACCATTAAGTCATCCATATTTGTTCATCAAAACCAACTCATTCAATCGTAAGTAGGCCTCCGTGCCTTATACTTGTTGATGCCAAAATAATACAACTGCTCATTTAACATATGATTCAGTAACTTTGTTAGATATATTAATCAAGTGACAAAAATATTTTACAATAAAAATAAAATAAAATCAACATTAATTTATTATACAAGTAATGGCGAGGATTTAAAGAAGATATTGTACTTATTATGAAATATGTGATAGATGTGGATTTCCAAAGTGTTTGGTAACTTACTAGTAATAAAATATCAATGGTTATTGAAAGCCGTGAATTATTACGTGAGAATAAGAGTTAATATGAGAAGTGTACGAAGGAATTTGGATCATTGATCATATTTAATTCCAAACTCATTTATGAATGACGTTTGATACGGGGATTGATCTGGTGCATCTCGGTGTATCTTATCTCGATGCATCACATCTTAATATGCATGTATGGGTGAAGATCCCTTCTTAGATTTTTCACATTAACTCTCCTTATCGGAACCTAACCCTATTGAAAGCTTATGGTGCAGTATTGTGTTTTAATCGGTCAATAAGTTAAAAAAATGTTATGTTTCATATAATGACGATCTTCAAGTCACGGTTTCCCCTGTTTTTAGTCTATTCAGGTGCTTGATGGCGAGTGTTCCCCCTAGTTAACAACTAAAAGCCTTACCCTCCGGCCTCCGCTAGTTGCTCTCACCTTATATTTTGATTATATGTTAATACATAAGAGTATCTTTTAGTGGAATGGTAGGAGAATAATCTAGAATTTGAATAACTTAAATTACATATTTGGTCTTTGTGGTTTGCAAGAAAATTACATGATTAGGTCCCTGATTTAACATAAGATGTTAAATTGCGTTACAAAATTTGCATTCTGTTTTGGATTCAAGTTCTTTGCTTGGACTCTATCTTTTTTATCTACATTAATCGTTCCACTGCCCCTTATATGAGGGGTAGTTTTGTCATCGCCCCCACCATGATTCTTCATATTATTTTCAAAGTTCACATCCAAAAACCAAAACACGTTTATCAAGAATAAAAAGGTATGAAATCAAGTCACACAAGACCCCTTTTGTTACTTCTCAAACACAACCTATGCCAGAACTATGCCATCATTACCAAAATAAACGAAGGGCTCTTATAGCATATGGTAGTTAGCATACTAGAGCTATGTGCACAAGAATCTGCTACTTCGATTTCACATACTTCACTTGCTGTTTCAATTGTATCTTTAAATTCAGGGGTTTTCTTGTTTATGCTTAAAATTCAAGAGATTTTTCTTTTTTATTATTTTAGTTTCAGAGTTTTCTTGTTTTTTATTTAGAACTAGGGTTTTTGATTTACATCGGTTTTGTATACACAATTTCTTTATTTAATTTGAGTTTCTTACTTGGGTTGAGGAAGAACGACGGGGAGAAGAAGAACCAAATGTAAAATGACAAAATTGTCCCTCGTGTAATAAACATATGGATGGTCTAATGAAAGGTATAGACTATAGAGACGAAGGAAGCCTAATCCTTATAACCACATAGACCAAATATGTAACTTACTCTTCACCAACTTCACTTTCAAATGTTATGAAATAAGGTGTGATTTTGTGGGCAATTTCATTCACTTTGTGGTTATCGTTGGTATTTAAGGCAAAAGAATTTGCAGAATTTGGCACACTCCCCTTCTTGCCGCTACGCACCTCTTCACACCTTATCTTTTTCGTCTTCTCTTCTCCCCTAATCCAGTTGAACAAAAATGTCGAGAAGGAGACCCCCTCCACAAGAACCAGAGTCATTATCCGATACCGAAGACCTGGAACTCTCAGAACTCGCCAATCAGCTCCCAGAACCTGAAGAAGACTCCGAGGAGGCTGAATCATTCTTCAAAGAGGCCTGTGAAGCTCTCGAATCGGAGGAGTTCAAAAAGTTGGATGAGGTAGATGATATAGACTACGTCGATGACAGGGAAGAGTTGTACGATTTTCCGCATGACCCGGAGAACTGGAAAGAGGAGGATTTGAAAGAGTATTGGGCGGATGGTCCGCCTCTTCTCACCAAACCTGGATGGGATCCGAATTTTGTTGAGGAGGATGAGCTTAATATAATTAATCAGGAGATTAAGGAGGGTAAGGACCCGCCTATTGCCCCGTTTTATGTACCATATCGGAAATATTACCCCGTCGTTCCCCACAATCATTTCGATATTCGTAATCCAAAATCGGTTATCGAAGAACTTGATCGGATTGAGGAGTTTTTGCAATGGCATAGCTTCGTTTTTGCCGATGGCAGCACGTAAGTTGCTTCATTTGTGTTGGTACATTTTGTTATGATAAGCTCCGTTGTTTAATTATCTGGGTTAATTGCTGAATTTCTAGTTTTTTGAATGATTTGTGCCTCTTTTGATAGAGAAATTCGTGCAAAAGCAGATTAACTTTTGGTTAATTAGAAATTAAGAGTTAATTGGAACCCTAAGTTGATTATCTGAGCCCTGCTGTGCTCATTAAGAGGTGCCCATTTGGTTACCTTCTGGTAGTGCATTACTGGGCTTAACTTTTTATGCTCACTTGAACCTTTTCCATTAGGTATTGTAATACACTATAAAGGGATTTGCTAGAAACTGCGTACTCATGTGAGATTTGATACTTGATGCACATTATGCATCGGTTAAAGTTAATTTTGAGAGTTGTACTTAGCATTGAGCACATGCTAATCGCTGAACATTATAACTTTCTGTTCTTTAGGGCCATGTTAGATTGTTCCAACCATTTCTTTTTCGTGGGCTGCTCCACTCTAAAGAAACAAAAACATTTTGACACCAAGATCTGCTAGATATGGAGTCTGCCATTACTGTTTTCTCTATATGATTATTTATCTGAAGAAGATGGGCATAAAAAACATTTTCTTGTGTAGAAACTAGACTTGGCTACTGATAACCTGCGTGTTCTATCTCAAGGTACGAAGGCACTGTCTGGGATGATTTGGCTCATGGCAAAGGTGTTTATGAAGCTGAGCAAGGACTGGTCAGGTTCGTTTATATTGCATATGTTCTTCTTGGAAATTCTTAATACAGTAAATTAAACGAGCCTAGTATATCCCATCCGGAGATGGGTTGTGGGAGGGGTAAGATGTGTACGCAGACCCAGCCTCTACTCCAGGTATCTCCCACCAAAAGGTGGGGGGTCTGGGAGGGGTAAGGTTTTAATGCATTGTTAATGACCAACTCTTGAGGTCATATCTATGTTGCTGGATTATTGCAGATATGAAGGTGAATGGTTGCAAAACAACCCAGAGGGTCATGGGGTTCTTGAAGTTGACATTCCTACTTATGAGCCCGTCCCAGGTTCAGAGTATGTTTATGATCTCATCTATGTTCTTTCTTCTCGCTTCCAAACAAACACAACACAATTAAGCAAAGATATTGCATAACCAACGCTCTTTCTATTTCCAGGCTTGAAGCTCAAATGCGCGCTGAAGGATATATATTTAAGAGAGATTTCATGTCACCAGAAGACAAGGAATGGCTGGAGAAGGATATTGAAGATTGTGTCCGTTTCTCTCGGGGCCGTCGTGAGATCCCATTCTATGAAAATGAGGAATGGGTCAGACAATTTGGAGAGAAACCGTAAGCTTTATGTTGAATAGTCAAATCCCTTCATGAGGCTATGTTCTATATGATGCTTATCAAAACTACATATCATTTTTATTCCCCTCAACCGTTGCTTATAATTTTGCGCTCATTTTGAATCATTCCAACAGTATGTTGTTAGTGGTGTAGTTGTTTATACTTGGAACAAGAGTTTGCATGTAGTTTCTTGACTTGTTATCCCAGGACATATGTTTAAAATGCATGGAGTTCTATAAAGAGTTTTGGCACTTATTCTTGAGTTGTACAGCCATTTTTCTAGACATTATTCTTTTTATTTTCTAAATATTTGGAAATGCTTGCAAACACAGAAAAGATCAGTAGCAAAATTAAACAAAGAAGTTTCAGATGCTCTTTAGATGGTGCAATTTGTCATCTGCTGAACTCTTTCTTTGTGTTAGGAAGATACAACCATTGGTGTCTGCATACGTTTAAAGTTCAATAATACCATTTTTTCGTTCTCTTGCATACAAAATCATATATTTATGGTTATAGCTTAGTTATCATGTTGGTTTTTTGATGGTAGGGAGAAGGGTCGATACCGTTATGCTGGTCAATGGAAGCATGCCAGAATGCATGGTTGTGGTGTTTTTGAACTGAATGAACGTACCACTTATGTAAGTTGTTACAAGTGATTAAAATCTCTTCCCAGGGATAGAATCATTACTGTTGTCCAGTAAAAAAGGAGAAACTGGCAGTTAACGTTTGTGCTTCGGAGAAATGGTAACTTTTTGCTGTTATTTGTGCAGGGACGGTTTTACTTTGGAGAGTTTCTGGAGGAAGATCATGGTTGTGATGTTGAGACTTCAGCGGTAACTCAAGATCTTTCTATTCATTGGATTCTCTTGGACCGTTCTTTATTTTAATTATTTTTATTGTCTGTATTTTAGCTCCAAATATGATAAATCAACTAATACAAAGGTATTTCAGTTGCATGCAGGTATAGCGGAAGTGGCTGCAGCAAAGGCTCGGATGTTTGTTAACAAACCTGATGGAAGTATGATGTCTATTTCTTTATCTTTTCAGTTTTTCACTAAATTATTGTGAATCCTTAGTTCAATATACGCGGAAACTTCATAAATAAACAAGAAAAGTTTTAGTCCCTAAGAGATATTTATAGATGATACGTTTTCTCTTCCGTCAAAACTTTGTTGTTGTCCTTTACAGTGGTCCGAGAAGAGCGTGGTCCATATAGTGATCCTCAGCATCCCTATCTGTATGAAGGAGAGGACGTGTGGATGGCACCAGGCTTTATTAACCAGTTTTGTGAAGTAAAATCCTCTTCTTACTTTATTTATAAAGTTATTTACTTTTTCAACAGTCGCACAGTATTTCTTTGCAAAATGTAAATATGAGTAGTTTTGGACTAATTGTGGAAAAATAAATACAAAAAAACCTTTGTACCCTATCCTTTTTGTCGAAAATCTATCATTCGGACAAATGAAGAGTTTTTTACAACAAAAAGTTGATCATCCTTTATTTATAAGTACGAATTCTCTAATGAATACCTCTTATGATAGTCCAACTCCTTTTCACTCTGCTTTCATCAGGTCCCTGATTACTGGAAAGCTTACATCGAGGACGTGGATGAAGAACGACAGATGTGGATAAACTCGTTTTATAAAGCCCCGCTAAGGCTACCCATGCCAGCTGAGCTCGAGTATTGGTGGAAAAATGGTACAATATTTGAGAATTTGTTATTTGATATTTTGATCCTACATATTCATCAGTATGCTAATTTAAACTAATTGTATCTCTACAAAATCGATTTGTGCATCCGTTTATCGAGAACTGCTAGGTGAGAAAATCACGTGTGCGGTAATGCCTGTAGGAAATGATAAATCAAAGACATTGGATTTAGGCCATGTTTGGCAACCGCAAGTTAGCTTGTTGAAAAAGCCATTTCGTTAGCCATAAATTTGCTTTTCAAAAAGCCACTTCAAGTAGTCTTTTTTAATAGGCTCTAGGGCTTTTCCACTTTTTTCCAATTATATCCTTATACTTTCCAAGTTAATGTTTCAGCATGTCTTTCAAGTCATTTTATATTGTTATCTAGTTTATCAGCTAGTTTTTTCTTAAAACCAAAAATGACTAGTTTATCTGCTAGCTTTTCAGCCAATTTGCCAAACATAGCCTTATATGGCTCAACAATTTGATTGCATCCATGGTTGTTTCTAGGATTCGTATTATATAATTTCGGTCTGATTCATTATATTAAAGGAATTAGGAATTTGATTTTCATTTTGAACAGAGGGGCCTCCTGAGTTTATTCTGCTTAACAAGGAGCCGGAACCTGATCCTGAAGATCCATCCAAGCTGGTATATACCGAGGATCCTGTTATCCTACACACACCAACCGGACGTATAATAAACTATGTAGATGATGAAGAATATGGGATCCGGATGTTTTGGCAACCACCATTGAAGGAGGGGGAAGATGTTGATCCCAGCAAGGTTGAGTTCTTACCTATTGGAAACGAAGACATGCGTAAAGTTGACCACCGCAACTTTTTTGAGCGTATGCTAACATCAATGCAAGATAAATGCAAGTCGATGCTGGAAAACCTGGAGAAACAGACTGAAGAGAAGAAGAAAGAAAGTGAATTGAAGATGAAAATAATAGAAACAGATATCGACATAGTAGAAGCTGAATCTGAATTAAAGGAGATCATTGAAGAAATGGATGATGAGTTGAGGAGATTGGAGAAAGAAGAGCAAAAGAAGATGGAGTTGGGGTTGGAAGAGGATGATGATGATGATGATGAAGCAACTGGAAAATCTGAGAAAGTTTCTGGTGATGATGGTAAAGTTGTCGAGGAGGAAGATGAGGATGAAGTTGAAGATGAAGATGATGACGAAGACGATGATGAAAACACACCACCTAGCTTTGGATCTTTTGTTAAAGATGAAGATTCAACAATAAATGACGCAAAGGGCAAGAAAGGTGGAAGATCCTCACCGTTTGCTGCGTCTTCCTTGCCGTTTGCTTCTTGTGGGCTTGCATCTCTGGTGAGTTTCTTCTACCATCCATGTTTGTATGGTCAATCCTTTGACTGTTAGGGTCGGTAATTCACACACTTTGGGGCCCGTTTGGTTACCTATGGAATGGAATTGAATTCCATTCCAACCAATTTTCCTAAGAGGACAAAACTATCCATTAAACTAATTTTCTTAAATTATCATGTTTATACTTTAAGAAAAAAATGCAAAATACAAATTCAAAGAAAGGGTATTTTGGTCATTTTTCATCATTTCGTTTCAATCCCTCTGTAAACCAAATAGACATTCCATCCCCTGCCAACCAAAACTTGGTTAAACATAATAACATTCTAGATTCCAATTCCTTTGACAGATTTCATTCCTTCAGAAAACATTCTGCCAACCAAACGCCCCATTAAAGTTTCAAGAAACGTAAAATTAATTTATTTTACACGGTTCAGCAAAGAACATGTTATAGGTGTAGTAAAAACCAACCCCAACCGAATGGACCTAGTAAATCCCACACAAAGGTGGGTTCTCCGGGAGGGTAAGATGTACGCAGACCTTACCTCTATCCCGATGGATAGAGATTCAACTAACACTGTGTTCCATCCAATTCAGGTGCCATCTCATGTACATCAATTATTTATGGCATGGAAGGAGTCCAAGTTGCAAACAAAGCCAGCAGCTTGTTCTTCATCATCATTCGGGTCTTGTGAATGGAGCAGAAAAAGTAGCAGTGTCGGATTTAAACGAATGTTTGACCAAGGTTCGACTTTGAGTTTGACTTTAACGGCACGTAACCAGGTTAAGAAGCAGATCATTCGCTCAAAGCCCAAACTTGGTCTTAAAAGAAACATGATGCAAAAACTACAAACCTTCACTTGGCCTAATGAAGACTTAGGTATATTATCCTTGCACATTCCCATTTAGATATGTTCTTTATTTTACACAAGTACCCTTGGTGCCTAATCAGACACTTGGTCTTTTGTAATGTTCGTTTATTGTTGGCAGACATAGCTAGCTGTGGCATTTTTGACATTTTACCAAGACTCAATTGTTGTATGAACCTGTTCAATCCGATCCATTTTTTTACATAAAAAGTAATCGAGATAAATGCGATAGATACGAGGTTTTGATAGATTATGGATATTTAAAAGCTTAATACTGATCCTTTTACAAAAAGTATGAACATCTTCATCATATCATATGTAACACTACATTAAAAAGTCATGCATTCATCCTGGTTTTCTTCCATATTGCAGTATCACTATCACATATGATGGTGTTTTCGTCTGAATTTCAGCTTATTGTATAAGCATGATCCATTCTTATTTTTGACTTTTAGAAAAGCAAATGGAAGTCTCAGTCACATGGGATATAAAATATGTCATTAATTTTTGTTGTTTTTGGGTTTTTCATTACCATAGTTTTTCTATTAGTAACATAATTTTAATATAAAGTAACGGTTGCGTTTGGTTCGTAGATTTTGAAGAAATTTGATGGAATTGGAATGTTGAATTTCATTGATAAAATTCCATTTTCACGTTTGGTTCATTTTTCTTCACGAAAATAATCTTCAAAATCCTACAAATTCCACAAATAAAGGAATATAATATTCCTTAGCAACTACCTGGTATTTTAATGGAATTGAATATGCTATATTCATAATACCAAATATGCCATTAACCGAATATATCCTAATCTCATAAAACCCAATATGACCATCGTCGACCACCACCGATCTAAACCACCGCCATTATAAACCACCGTTGATCTGAACCACTGTCGACCATCATCATTTGAATCACCACAGACCACCATCGATCTTAACCACCACCAACTACTACCGATCCAAATCACTCGGCTACCTCCAATCTGAACCACCGTCGACCATCACTGATATGAACAACCACCGATTGGAACCACCCCCGATCTGAATCACATCCGACCACCACCACCTGAATCACCACGAACCACCACCTGAATCACCACGAACCACCACCGATTTAAACCACTGCCGACCACCGACGACTACCACCAATCTAAATCACCGTCGGACACCGCCGACCACCAAATATCTGAATAACCACTGATCTGAACCACCGCCGCAACCGCCAATCTGAACCACTGCTGACCACCTCCATCTGAACCACCGCGCATCACCATCGCTTTGAACTATTGCTGACCACTGCCATCTGAACCACTGCGGACCACCACCAATCTGAACCACCATGGACCACCACCGATCTGAACCACCGCCGACCACTATCGATTTAATATTGTCGTTTGGCTTATAGTTTTATTTGGATTGTGTATTTTTATTGTTTTACATATTAAACAATTATTTTTAGTTTTGAAAAAAAAAATTCAAAAAAGGCATATTGGTCATTTACTAATATTTCATTCCAACTTCAAAGCTAAATTCTGTGAACCAAACAGACAGATTCTAATTCTTTAAGGGATTCCATTACAATGTCTGCCAATTAAACAGATGGTCAAACCTGACAACGTTTCATTCCAATTCTTTCAAAGTCAATTTTTTTTAATAAATTCTATTTCATCCAAAAACATTATACAAACCAAATACGAATTAAATTGTTGGAAAATAAAATAATAATAATGACCAAGACCTCACTTGGGTAAGAGACATGATCAATTGACAACGTAAGTGGTGGTGGGGTGGCTCCAACAATATTGTTTTAAAAGCTCCAAATAAATTAAATAATTACACCACGTGTCATGTTATTTGTGGCTCATCCCTCTTCAAATAATTTTTTGTATTCAACGTTTAAATCTCAATCTTCCCTTTTCCTAATAGTAAAATATTCTAGCAAGTACCGCATCTTACAACCAACAATTACAATTCGTAAGGTGTCGTTTACTAAACGTTTATCCGGTAAGTTTTTACTCGGTAGTTTTTTTTTACCGAATGAACATGACAATGGTCAAAAATCTTACCCGATAAGAGCAATGATAAAGACGAAGAGTCTTACTCGGTAAGTGATGGTGACGACTCTTACCCGGGTAAGTGCTTACCGAGTAAATTGTTGCATACGATACCATTTTGATGTACTACAATCTTATCCGGTAAAATAAATTACATTGTTGACTCCTAATGATAAACGCTTACTGGATAAGCATTTAGGTAAACAACCCCTTAGTTTTATACAACCATCTAATCAAGGATTCCTCTTGGTTCTCTACTACAAGATTAACCTTATAAGTTAATTATACTGATAATAAGATTTGAGTATTTTGATGATTTGACTCAAAAGTTTATCGAGTTAAGTCCTGCAAAGTTATTGGAGATTTTTCTGACTATTCTTCAAAACCTTTGCAATTAGTCGAGGTACATACAAGTTTGTCCATATATTCACAGTTAACAAAAAAAGGTCTGAAGTCGAGTTATGCATAAATTGATTTTTAACCACTCATGATTATCTATGCTATATTGAAAAGCATTTGACAAAACTCTTAAAAATCAGTTTTTATGTATGAAATATTATTTATTGATGCACATTACTTAAAATTCAAGATTACAATTGATTTTGCGTAAATACAATTTATTAAAGCTCTATTTTTAAATTATGTAACTAACTGCAGATAAACATAATCAAATACAAGATAAACATATATTTTAAATATAAAAAATCTAAAATATAATTAAGAGAATCATTGAGTTCTAACAGAATATTTAATTATTATATTTATAAAAAATTATATTATTAAACCAAAAACAAATTATTTTGTCATTAGACCTAAATTAAATTGTAATAAAAAATTGAATCAAAGAAGTTACACAAAAAAACGAGAACTATTAAATAGTTAACTTGATACTAATATCGATTTTACTTTTATTAAATTTTTTATGCTATCTTCAAATTTATATTTCATTCAAAAAAAAAATATTATCGTTTTCTCAAAACCACATAAAATCTTATTATATCGATAGAGACAAATAATAAAATTAAATATTAAAATGAAGATTTATCTCGTTACATTATACGAGTACTCTTCTGGTAAATAAAAAGTAAGTCTATATATGGTATGAATGGGTGGTAGAATGAGTATGTTTGCCTTAACCTACCTATAAATCTATAGTAGATAACGACATGGAATCCAAATCCTATAGATTTATGTTATCAAAATGTCTAATAATCTAAAATTAATTTGCTTACAAACAGATATTATCAAAATAATATAAAATCAGTATTTCAAATCTTAAAAAAAATGATAAATAACCAGAAAAAATTATTTTATAATTGTTTGACCACGTAAATAACAATCTTCCGTGACCATATTTTTTATTTTTATTTTGAAAATTGATCTCATTTCCATTTTCTTGTAATTTCAAATTTCATGCTTCTACCTCAAACAAGGACCAACAGCAAACATTTATTTTTGTTTCATGCTGCATTTATCATTTAAAATATTAAAGAAAAATCCATGGTCCCAACTCCCAACAAGTTGGGGCTGCAACTTGCCAAATTGAGGCCATGTGTTGACCATGTTTTGATGGCTTCAAAATTTCCACTTCAAACTTACTACAAATATCCATTTTCATTTTTCATTTAATGTTCTTTTTTTACTTCAAAATTGTTCTTATATATAATGTTTTGGATGAAAAAAAAAAACATAATTTTAAGTAATTTGTTGTGGTTTATAAGTTTTTCAAATTTAATTTATCAAGTGGTATTTTAAGCATTTAATTGTTAATCTAAAATTTTATTAAGTTATATTGATTGGATTTTTTTTTTTATAAAACAGAACAATGTTTGCTTTAGTGTAAAATTAAATTATAGTTTTTATTAAGGTAATTACATGAAAATGTAATGTACTGTGGAGTCATTTTTATTTTAGACAACATACTTTTAAAATATTTATTTTGAAAATTGAGATGTGATGTCTCGAATATTTCAGTACCTACTTCACATATGCTTTGGTCCATCACCACATCTCCTTCTATAGTTGCTTTAGATTCAGAGGAAAAAAAGAGACCATCCATGATATCCACGAACTACCAACAAGCTCGCCCTCTATCTTCTATTGTTTTAGATTCAAATTCAAAGTGTCCTTTGCTATCTTAAGGTCGAGAATGCCTTTTGCCTTGATCGGAATTGAACGATATATTTCTCGAAACAGACGGAAGTGTGTATCTTTTGGTGGGGATTTCCTGGAAACAATCGTTAGAACAACCAACACCAACCGATCTAATGTTATCATTAACCGTCCAATGGAGACTCTTCTTACCACTTTCTATTCTCGATCCTCCAATCTAAACTAACATAATTTTTTATATGTATTCATCTATATATACACAAATAGTTAATAACAATATATGGTTGAGTTTCGATGAGACTGAAAGTTACGATAGAAAAGATAAGAACATATCTCCATCCTTGAATGAATCCTAATTGAGATCAATCCTAATAAGATATACCAAAATGCACCAGATCAATTCCCATGAGAAGCGGAATTCATAGGGTAACGATGAGATAAAAAATGATCAAGGTCCAGAGCACTTTTAACGTTTTTTATCCGGACTCATATTATCACAAGATTTTTGGTTTATGGTATTTATCCAAATTGCATGACTCAATTATTGACATATGAGAGTAGGGGTGCTCATGGGTTGGGTTGATCGGGTTGAAGACATTTGAACAACCCAACCCAACCCAAACCAAAGTGCAACCCAACCCAATCCGTACGGGTTGGTCGGGTTGATATTTTGGTATATTAAAGTATTCTTTTAACATTGAATATGTTATTTCTCTACTCATAATTTCTTTTTCATCATCAACTATCTGATACAACTTATCCATATTTTTTATGTATATCACATTCAGTTAATTTTCTCAATTTACATATATATGTTCGCAGTTACTGAACATATATATGAATGAGTTATATAGAGATATGAATAGATTGAAAATATGTGTATATGAAAAGCATAYATGATAATGTAATTGTCTAATGTATATATTAATATAAATTCAACAAGCATATTAAATCCAAGAAATAAAAAGATATCGGGTTCATCGGGTTGGGTTGGGTTCAAATAATAGTAACCCAATATCAACCCAATAACTATGGTTTGACAATTTTACAATTCGATTAGACACCGGGTTGCTTTGGATTGAGTTATTTCGCGTTGGATTGGTTTGGGTTGATCGAATTGATCGGGTTAGTCGGGTTTTTGAGCACCCTTGTATGAGAGTATAAGGTATGGAAAATCACAATCGCATGGATATGACTTTTCAGATCGCGTTGTCCTTGCAATATGCATGGGGCTAATAATAATATGCATGCACCTTTGAAAACCTTTTCGGCTTTGACCGTCGCCACGTGTCACTGGCTAACCTTCTCAACAAGTCAGCGTTTGACACCTGTATTTCAGTTCAAGTGTTTTTGGCTTCTTCAGTTAATATAAATATTAATCAGAAAAAAGAAAAATTGTAAATTTTCCAAAATAAAAAACCGCATCAAACCGTCGATAACCGATCATGCAACATTCCATCTTGAACTAAAGAGTAAATTACGATTTTAATCCATGTAGTTTGTTAATAGTTTTTATTTTAGTTCCTATGGTTGTTTATAATTTCTATATTAGTCCCTATAGTTTAGAAATTACAATTTTTATCCTTATAGTTTGTAATTTATTTAAAGGTGTTCGCGCTCCGATTTGGATAGTTTAATCCCCCAAACCACAAACCAAATCGCAATGTCAGTTTAGAAAAATTTCAAAACCAAACGGTTTAGAAGTAAGTTACCAAACTTGTCAAATCGGTTTAGGTCTTTTATTAATTTTAAATTAAAAAAATATAATATTTTTATCCAAAATGAATTTTTTTACCAATATAACATTATTAAAAAAAATAGTATATTGAAATATAAAAGAAATGTCTATCTCTATTTTTTTTTTTTGAGTAAGTTGATAAAGGTTAAACAGGTTCATCAATAAAAGTTGGAATTTTGGACAAACAGTGAGCAAGTCGAAGGGTGATTTGGAATTTTGGATTTTATTTTTGACGAGTTTTAGAATATTGCCAAATTAGACACCATGGTCAACTGAGAAATAAAAACTAAAAACCTATTTCATAGGAAAACGTTTTTTTAATTGTGCCTTCAAAATTAAGCATATAACATGAAAACTAAATATAATTAATACATGTATATTTTTTGTTGTCGATTGATCCATAACGCTAAAAAAACGTTCAAATCACAGACCGAACCGAACTGAGCGATTATATTATTTTTGAGATCGGACTGAACCGTCAGACCGCTTAATCCACCAAAAATAGTCTGGTTTTTTACTTGGTTCGACCGATTTAAGTGGTCCAAAGATTTTTTTAAACACCCCTAAGTTATTGCTATTTTTGTCACTGGACTAATTCTTGTCTTTAAGTACACGAAACACAATAGAAAATTGTAAACCACATGGACCAAAACAACAATAAATGGTATATCATAAGGTAATAACTTACAAACCATACGGAGAAAACCGAAAAATTTAAACCACAAGGATGAAAGCCACAATTATTAACAAACTATAGGGGCTAAAAACGTAATTTACTCTAGACCAAAAAACCACTACGGGCGGTAACCGGTAACCGACCTTCTTCCCTTCCAAATAAACCTATCGCTAGCTACCTTCTGGGAAGAAACCTCCATCCCCCCCTATATATGAATCCACTCCTCCTCGATGTTTCAAACTCGTCATTAAATCTCCGCCGCCGCTTGTCTCCGGTGACCGACATCCCTATATTGGCACAAAGTGAAGCAGTATCTGCACAGAGATTAATAGATGTCGACGAACAAAAGTAGCCGGAAAGGCCAGGATAAGAACAAGAAATTAGGGAGATTAACAGAGAAAGCTATGTCGTTTCACGGTCAGGCTGCGGAAGATATGGTAGGGAAACTGCGGAGGCCGAGGACGGTACCGGATTTGATTTCCGGTACCGGTAGGGTTGCTTCGTCAACGGGAATGGTGCGTCCGAAGCTGACGAAACTGCTGCTTAACGTGACAGTACAGAGAAGTCTAGGTCCAGTGCACGTATTGATTTCACTGGAGTCGACTGTCAGTGACCTTGTCGCCGCCGCTCTACAGCAGTATTCCAAGGAAAGCAGGCGACCGATCCTTCCGTCACTCAATCCCTCTGGTTTCGAGCTCCATTACTCGCAGTTCAGTTTAGAAAGTAAGCCAAACTCTCTCTCTCTCTCTCTCTCTCTCTCATACACACACACACAGAGTTGATTGTTACATAAACTGTCAATACATCGTTATATATAACATTGATTTCTTACAAATAGATCATAATCAACAGGTTTGGATCCAGATGAAAAGCTGATCGAGTTAGGTTCAAGGAATTTCTTTCTGTGCCCGAAACCAAGTGTAACCGCCGGCGGAAGTGGCGATGACAAAGGTGAAATTGGATTTGACTATGCGGTGACGACGACAACGTCTAGTTGCTCGACGGAGGCAACAAACACCGGTGGAGGTTGGCTTCGATTCATGAACTTTTCGTTGTAAGATTGGATCACATATCAGCTTTAGTTTTAATTGAATTCTTTAGTGCAAATCAATTAGCAATCCCAATATATTCAAGTTTTCATCAAAACAATAAGAATGATGGATGATTATATAGGTTTGTATTTGTGTTGGAGTATATATATAGTTCTTATATATAAATCAATCAATTGTATAGAAGCTTTATGCATCAATTATGGTTAGTCAACTCATTTTGATATGGAATATATACACAAACTTTTAGATAAGGTTAAATTTGATTCCACCATCTTCTTTCTTTCAGATTTTATCAATTATGGTTTATTTTATTTAATATAAAATATAATAAATAAGTCTTTTGACTCTACCCAGTCTTTTTTTAAATAACCATCCTCAGCAATGATCTCCCATCAATGTTTTGATAAGAGCTTGTCTATGAAGATGATATGCTTATGAAAATGCATCGTAAGAAAATTAAGTATGAATAATATAAAGATTAACAACCGGTAACAACTGACTTGTATTAATTGTGATATTTCTTTTTTCACACACATGCATATGATACGAAAAATTACACTCAATAAAGATTAAGAAATTCCGAAAGAAAACTAAACCAAGTTGTTTTTTTATGTAACCTATAAAAGGCGATTATGAATTAGCCTTATGAAAACAATAGTAGACACAATGTTACGACAAAGATAAAAAGAAAATGACAAAAAAAAGGTGATTGATGGGCGAAATATGTCAAGTATTATGCAAATATCATCAAATCATGACTTATGAGAAGATCCAACCAACAACTCGTCTGATGGTCGTGGGACGAGCCTCCATAGTGGATAAGTTTCATGTCTTATTCCTCCTGAAATCATGTTCTTAATTTTTTTTCCTTGGTTTATCACTCATTATCCTTGTATTTAAGAAAGAATGAAATGTGGAATTAAATAAATATATATTAAATAAGATAATGTTATCTAGAAATTAATGATATATGGTTTGTATTTCATTTTTTTCCTTCCCTTCCACCCAATTATGTGTCTAAAAACAAATCATTTGTATAAACATCAATCAAGTCGGTGTAATATAGAAACCTATGATTACTCAAATTTTTTATTAAAAATATAATATTATAATACTTATTTTTATATATTTTTTTTATAAAGAGGGGGAGGCCCTTCCAATCAAGAAAATATTATTGAAACAAGATTTCTTTTAAAAAATATAAAAAATAAAATCAAAGACACACATTCGGGTGGAGGTTAAACCGAAACAACCAAAAAAAAAAAAAAAAGAGTAAGCTCAGAGGAGAAAAAGGGAGAAGTAAGGAACCAACTACTATGAAAAGTTGCAGACAAATTATAAAATATATATAAGAAAGTTGTGGTTGATTGAATTGTATTAATACCTTCATATATAATAAAAATGATAGTCACATGATTTAGCCACAAATTAGTTTTTTATGGGCATTTCATAATTATTATTATTAGACAAAAAGAATAGCTTTATGAAATAAACTTATATTTATATTAAAGTACCTTAAAACTTCATCATATTTGTGGTATGAAAGAGACAACCAAATTTACTAATGAAGAGGGGAATGTGAGAACATGAACGGATCCAGAATTTTTTTTAAACGGTAGCATCATTTCATTATAAGAAAAAAAATATAGGAATTTTTTTTCAAACGGTGACTATATACGGAATTTTTTTTAAACGGTGACACCGTTTAACTAATAAAATGACACTAACATGATTCAAACTTGGGTGTGGGTGGAATAAAAGTCTTGCAAACCAACTCTACCAAATAAAACTTGTTATCATTGTAGTTTCAAAATACATACGGTGGCACACAACAAATTAATACGGTTGCACCGTTCACGAAACCTAAATTTTTTACCCTTCGACGGAGAACGATATGATTGCACGTGCCACCCATTACACTTAACCAGGTCCACCTATGTGTGAGAGGTGATTTATCCCATTGCATGTTATTTATACACTCTTTTTAGTTTTTATTTAATTTAAAAAAAAACTTTTTATGTCTAATTTTTTTATTAAAAATCTAAAATCACAACATGTTTATCCTTCCAAATTCATCTAATGCACTATTTTTTTACATACATCTTTTTTTATGAATAATTCATTTTCTATTATATATTTTAGAAACTTAACATAAAAACCAATAAATAGCATGGAGATGCTCTTTTTTAAGAACATAAAATACTGAAACATGATTAATTTTGTAACATCAAATGCTAAAATAGGACTCGTTTTTGTAATTTTTGCTTATTATTAATGTTCTAATTCTTGAGAAAAAGTCCGAAATACCCTTCAGAACATCCCAATATACCAGTCCATGACCATCACTCAACAGGTAAAACATAGTATCATAGGATAAGGTGGGGTTGAATATGAAGTTGAAACCTTGTCGTGGGAACTTCATCCTCTTTTCTTGAGACAATTCAGCAAAATTTTGTGGTTGTTATTATTATGGTATCTATGACAAAAAGTTAAAATAAGGATTATATATATCTATTAGCAGTTAACATTAATAGCAGTTTAGCATGTGAAATAAAAAGAACAAATTAAACTCATTTAATTGGATCAAGTTATTACCTATGTGACGTTAAACATCTTTTCCAAGACATTATAATACCTAAACAAAAATCAAGATAAAAAATATATTACATTATTGACACATTTAACCCCATTAAGGACTGTTCGGTTTGTTTTCCACTAAGATCTGCATGGATAAAGGTGTTTGTATTGATAAAGTTGTATGAATGATAACATAAAAGTTGTTGTTCGATTGTTGTCCTGAATAATCAATCTGAATGACAGAAATGACTATTTTACTCCTTAATGTCCATCCAATCTAACTGATTTAGGTTTTTTTTTTCACAAACCTAATATCACAGACCCAATGAAGGAGACGATTTGGGTTTTTTACTTTTTTTTTTTCCAGACCTAATGCCAAAAATCAAAGGTATCAAACATATGACCCCTAAATATACGAATCAAATCAAATGAAGGAGACAGTTTGGATTTTCAATGAGTAGGGAGGAACACCCAAAAGCAAATCTTCACCAAGCTCATTCAAAATCGTCGAGGAGGCACTGGAAAGCTTGAAAATCAAAAGAAGACCGATGATGGCAACGAAGAAGATGACACGACGAAAATCAAAAGATGACACCGACGGTGGTAGTCACTGGAAGACCGACAATGTCATAGGAGGCGCTGGAAGGGAAACGTTGGATCCGACACATTAACGAGAGATGGGGAGAGTAATGAGCAGATCGAGCTTCATCCCAATGAGTTTCTTCCAACGAATCAAGCTTCATTTCAGAGAGTGAGAATCGACTCCATTTCAGGTAAGGTAAATGGTCTGTTGGAGGAGGAAGAAATGAATTTAGGAAGGAAGAGACGTGTTTTTTCCAAGGGTATTGAGAGAAAAAGGACCGGCTGAATATGTACGACTCTACTCGTGTAGCTGAGCGATTCAGTCATGGGCTGACCGAATAAATCCATACGAACAGTTAGATATGACTATGCAAATAATCCATATGACTTATGCAACCCATTAAACCGTAAAACAACAGCTCCTTAGTATGATGATAAATAATTGTCGTATTATAAAATCATTTAATTAATTGTTTTTTAATAATCATCTTTGTTTTGATGTTAATAAAGGAAAGTAGAAAGGAAGGAGCATGATTACCGATATCATATGGGCTAGTAGTCCATTAATTACTCTCAAAATTTTCTCTCCGTGGCGTGGCGCCATCTGATTAAAAGAATTTTTGTTATCCTTCAAAGTGGGCCAAGACCAAGCCCAAGCCCAAGCCCAGAAGGATAAGGTTTTATACATTTCTATTTCATTCAATTAAACACTTAAATAAAACTTTACAATTATCTATACTATCTATACTATATTATAACGCATTTGATTAAAACTCTTAAAAACTCTTAAACTCTTAAACTCTTAAACCCGCTCATCCATAAACGATTTCATCCATATCCGATTTCATCCCATAACTGAATTTGTGTAACTAACTGCAGATAAACACAATCCAATACAGGATAAACATCTCATTTTAAATATAAAAAATCTCTAATATAATTAGGATAATCATTGAGTTCTAACAAAATA